AAATTTATCCAAATGCGGCCGGGGCGGAGGTGGGGGGGGAGGGAGGGGGAAACAAAAAGAAAGGAGAAGGGAATTGAGGGAAAAAAAATCAGAAAGAAAAAATATGGGGGACGGAATACAGGCTACCGGTAGTAGCGCGCTCTACACGTGTTGCCCGTGCAGATTATGAAACGACATTGTTATTGAATTAAAAATTAAAAAACAAGTCTACATCGAACTCTCTCAAGCCGTGCCAAAACCCTTTTCATCAGTCCATAGAACACAGGGAAAGTTCAGGGAAAAAAAATAATAAATAAATAAAATTAAAATTAAAATTAAAAAAAAATCGAACCGAGGCTACCGGTAATTAGTACACGTGGCAAGCGGGGAGATTAGAACGACGACGGCTAACGATCTGTAACTGCAAACGATCTTCATCGGTCGACAATAATAGAAAATTTTCATTTCCCTTCATTAAAAAAATAAAAAAAAATAAAAAAAAGGGAATAGTAAAACAGCGGCTACTAGCGGTAAAAAAAAAAGAAAAAAAGAAAAAAAAGGGCAATAGTAGAACAACGGCTACTACCGGTAATTAGGTGGGGAGGAGAAGAAAGGCGACCGCGATAGGAACTTTCGCTTCTCTCTCTTCGAACTTTCGCTTGAAATCTCTCTTCAAACTTTCTCTTCGAATCTCTCAGCAAACTTTCTCGTCAAATCTCTCTGCAAACTTTCGCTTCTCTCTCTTGTAACTTTCCCTTCTCTCTCTCGGCAACTTTCCCTTCTCTCTCTTCAATCGTTCTCATCAGTTCACAACTTCATAGTGACACGGAAATGGAAAGATTGGCTATTTTTTGAAAAAAAAAAAAAAAAAAAAAGGTTATCAATCTTCCCCCCCGGGAATAGACGCAGTTACCGGCTATTTAAAAAAAAAAAAACATATTTTTTGAAAAAATAAAATAAAATGGTTATCAATGTTCTCCCAATCTTCTCCCTCGAAGGCAACGACCATTCAGCGAGCGAGCATAGTGACATTAGGACTTTTGGGGATGCATCTGGATGCCATTACGGTCCCCCCCTGCATGTATCTGGCCGCAATTCAAGGCCAGAGCCAAAAGTTGAAAAGATGGAGCAGTGCGAGTATATGCCCTAAGTGGAAGGAGAGAAGGGAGTAGAGGGAACTCCTAGATGAGTACTAAAACATTAACTGTAGATTTTTAAAATTTATTTGTTTTTTTTTTGAATTAAGTGTGAGTTTATAAACAGCCTTCGACCATTCTCACACTTATTAACGGCTGTTGCAATGAATCTGGCTGAGAATTGTGGTCAGATACCTGTGTATTGAGTAATGTCTGGACTGCCGGAACGATAACAAAAGAGAAAAAAAGAGAGAGAAAAAAAAGAGAGAGAAAAAAAGAGAGAGAGAAAAAAGAGAAAAAAAGAGAGAAAAAAAAGAGAGAGAAAAAAAAAGAGAGAAAGGGAAATCCCTAGATGATTAACGACTATGAATTTCCTGTAAAATTTAAAAGTAGCCTTATTAGTTCATTCCCCCACACTTACGGCTTTTGCAATGAATCCGGCCGTTATCTGTGAAAAGTTCCGACTACGAGTGCCATGTATCTAGTCATTATTATGACCGCATACCGAACCGAGCATTGCAAAACACATGCCTCCACCTTGCTCTTCCAACACGTCTCCTTTACCACCACTCCTTCTTGCCCATCAGCATCCTTTTCCCCCCATAGCCTGTGTCATGATGATGATGATGATGATGATCCTTTGCTCTGCCTCCTTAGCGAGTTTCTCTCTCCCTTTTCGTTAACCAGTACGTACGTAGTTGTGCAACAGCCATGCAAAGAACAATGACGTGCCTGCAAATGTCTCAGAATCACGTCCCGACCGCGACTTCAAGTGACGGGATACCACTACCATTGCGATGACAGAAGATTCGGTATAAGATTCGAAATCGCGATCGGATAAGATTCACGTCCCGACCGCGACTTCAATCGACGGGATACCACTATAATTGCGCATGTAGGCGCGTAATGGTGCAGGTATGTGAGCGCCAAAGGGAGGAACGAAAACAGTACCTTGCACAACCTCATCTCTCTCTCTCTCTCTCTCTCTCTCTC